ATATTAACCATCACTACCTAGGTGACGAAAATCTATGAGAAGCGTATTGTACCAAAAATTAAATATTATCAAACGATTACAGTACCGCCTAATGTCACTACACCGATAACAGTCACCGCCTCCTCTCGTGTCGCCGTTGTTATGCCCTCAACGCACGCACACCCGAGTCATCTGGGATGGGTCAGAGGTCGCCCATATGTCGTGTCAGAGTAGTCTAGGTGGCAGTGGAGGTGGAGTTGGAGTTTGCGCGCTTGCTGATGAGGTCATGAACCAAAGTCATGGGCGAGGAGATGACAAGGATGCGGGTGCGGGGCAGGTCGAGTCGGGAGGGTCCCCACACTTTGTGATGTCCCATACCCCCGTCTACTTCATCATGAGCGACACACACACATCCCCGAGCAGAAACTCACCTGGTTCTGGCCGGCGTGGTTCTGGCCGTGGTGGGGCCCCGGCGAGCTCATGCTGTTGGGGGGCCCCCGGGGGCCCTTGTTGACGGGCGCCAGTCCGTTGGCGTTGCCGTAGCCCGGCCGCGGGGGCGCGCCCTGGAACAAAACAAACAGACAGACGCCGTCAGTCACGCTCATCATCGTCATCAAGACACAAGCCGAGTTAAAGGCAGGGAGTGGGGGGATTAGCCTAAAACGGAGCCTGCAAGCGAAGAGCTCGCAGCTCCGCCCCTGGAAGTGAGCGGCGCGTCGCAAGCCGGGACGTGCGAGCACGCCGGCGACGTGCCCGGGGTGCAGAGCAGACGGGGGAGGCGGAGCTCTTCCTGCATACACACCTCCTCTCTCCCTCTCCCTCTCCCTCTCTAGGCACTCAGACGCTCTTCGTTGTGGATCGAATCCCGGAAAGTCCTTCCCTTCCTCCCCCTCTTCCCCTGCTCTCTCTCTCTCTCTCTCTCTCTCTCTCTCTCTCTCTCTCTCTCTCTCCCGTTCCTAACTCTCTCTTTCTTTCCCCCTCTCTCTCTCTCTCTCTCGCTCGCCACCCTTCTCTCCCTCCCTCCCCACCCCCATGCCGCAGCACTACACACAGCAGTGTGGTATGTAGCGGAGGGCGGGGCGGGACTCTGCATATATCGCAATGACACACACACGCACGCGCACGCGCACACACACACACACACACACACACACACACACACACACACACACACAATCGCATGTCTCCCTGCTGCGCTGCACAGCCCCCTGTACCTAATCCGGTGGCGTGGTGGCGCAGCCAGGCTTTATGTGAAGTGCACCCAGAGAAATGTGTGGCTGGAATCACCACCAAGCTACAGAATGTCGGACCCATCCATAATAAGCACATGATCGTGCGCGCTAGATTATTCAAGCAAAGATTATGGCAGGATCTATCTGTAGGTATCAACTTGGTTGATTCTATAGCACACATGTTTCTCGGAAAGTGCCTGATAACAAGGCGCGGTCGAATGCGAGCGAGATAGATGATAGACCGCATCGGTTTACCCCCCCCCCCCTCCTCCTC